TGAGGAGTGGGTGGAAGATGATGTGGAGGATGATGAGGTCCTAGACCCCATGGAATCAAGGTCATGAGAGTGACGTGTCCAGTTTGGAGGAAGAGGCAGTGGTCGCACAGAGGCACCAGCACAGCATAAAAGGGAGCAGGGTGCCAAAGCGGAGCAGCCATCCCCTAGACAGTACGCCTGCTATTGCCCACCGCACCCAGGGACTGAGCACACCAAAGCCAGCTCCAAGGAGTTCCCTGACGTGGCAGGTCTTCAGACAATGTGCTGACGACAAGACACGAATGGTTTGCACACTGTGCAATCAGAGCCTGAAGCGAGGCATAAACATTCTAAACCTGAGCACAACCTGCATGGCCAGGCATCTACATGCAAAGCACGAGCTGCAGTGGAGTAAGCACCTCAAAAACCAAGAAAGGTCTCAGGCTCCTCCTGCTTCCTCTTCTGCTGCTGCCTCAGCCTTTTCCTCCACCTCTGGAGTGACAGTGGCACCTGCACCCCGCAAACAGAGGATGTGGCAGCAACGCCACCACGTCCGCCACCGTCCCCAAGCATCTCCACACTGTCCTATAATGGAAGCGTTCAGCTGTCCATCTCCCAAACACTGGAGAGCAGGCGATAGTGGAGTTTCAGCTGCAGCACGCACGGGTCAGTCGCTCTGCGGAACAGCACCACTTCACCACCAATGAGTGGGCCTCCATGCGAGACCTGTGTGCCATGTTGCGCTGTTTTGAGGACTTCACCAACATGGCCAGTGCCGATGACGCTGTTCTCAGCCTTACTATCCCACTTCTATGTCTCCTTGAAAAAACGCTTCAGGCGATGATGGAAGAGGATGTGGCACAGGAAGAAGAGGAGGAGGAAGAGGGGTCATTTTGGGTTGGCTACCTCCTCCTCCTGAACCGCCGCTTCCACCTACACCACCACGGTCATCTCCTCCTCAACCTCCTACTCCACATCCACCTCCTCCTCCTAGTTCAAGATTATTATTTTAATTTTTTAGGAATTTTATGTTATTTTAAGTGATTTCCTTATCCACATTTGTTTGCAGGGCACTTGTCCTACTCTTACCCCCATTTTACTTCCATTTGCAGCCCTCTAGCCCTTTCCAGGACTTTGTTAGAGCTATTTTAGTGCCCAATAGTTTAGTGGCCTTGAATTATTCTCTAATTCCCAAAGAAACGGAGAGATAGGTAAGGAATGTTTTAAAGCCAGAGGATGGAAACTATGCACAGGCTTCTTGTACAAAGTAAACCAATTCTCTTGTCAGTCTTGTACACCTCCAAATCAAGAAACTAAATTATTTCATCTTGATAATTTAGACTGCATTCACTAGGAGATCCCCCTTGATTCAATTATTCCATCATCTTGATAAATTCAGTTGAAGATTGAGACCAGATTATAAACATATAATCCTCAAACATGTGCTATGAAAACAATTGAGACCCATATTGGGTTAGAATTTTGGATCTTTTGTGGGTGTACATGTAACCAGTGGCACAGCTAATGTAGAAAGGGCGCTGGTGCAAGAATTTATTTCGGGCCCCTTCTAGCACAATAGTGGCGAAAAGATAGATCCCCATCTGTCATGCAAATCCCACAATGCTATTCCAGCTGGGGATCTAGCATTTGTGAGTAGTGTTTATGCAATTGAATGTTACCATGCTTTTGCATAGAGTATGTGTGTGCATGTAGGGGTGTAATTGTAAATATAAATGTACTGTTGCCATTAAAATGCAGTTGTGTGCTTGTGTGTAGTGTTTGCATTTGAATGCATGGCTGTGTTAGTACATAGTATTGGCTTTTAAATACATGTGTGCTTTTGTGTGTATTGATGGTTTTTGCATATAATTTTAGCGTTTTAACAGCGATGTAGTGTTGACTTTTATATGTGAATGTACATTAGTGTGTAGTATTGGTGTTTGAGTGAGGGGGTGTGTTTGTATATAGTTTGGGAGTTTGAATGCAGGAGTGTGTTTGTATGTAATGTTTGTGTGATTGCAGGGGGATGTTTACATGTTGTGTTGGTGTTTGATTGCTGGGATGTATGCACATACAATACCACATAAATATTAACACGTATATACATACACATTAACACACAGAAACACATTGACACATAGACACACATGATACACACACTGACATGTACATACACTGACACACATATACACACACAGGCACATACACAGACCTTGACACACAGATATACACACTGATACATACATGTTATAATTTTTATATTTGCAGGCACCCTCCTGTTAGCAAACCTTTTGCCTGCACGAGGGTGGCTCTCTTAGGGTGCTGCTGGCTGAATCTTATGTGTGTGGATCCTTCAGCAGCAGCTTCCCTGCTGCCTGTGCCTCTTTCCCTCCCCCGTGGAGCACAGCGCTCTCTATAAATATAAAACAGTAGGTGAGAGTGCTCTAAATAATAACATACATTACCACTTTGGCACAATCTGGGGCTACAGCAAGCTTCTACTATCACTATCACAGACTGTCCATTGCTCCCAGGCTGCTGATATTATAGGGGAATGGTTGTCCTCTTAAAGGGACATGGCACCTTGCCGGGCCCCTGTTCAGCAGTACCCATTGAGTGGCCCTAAATGCTTGGGACACCCGATGGGCCCCCACAGCATGCGGGCCCCGGCATGCTGCACCGGCTACATTGGTAGTAGTTCCGCTGCTGCTTGTAACATGATGTAATATAGTGCCATGTCTGATCCCATCACATTCCCGGTCTGTTGTATATAGAAGTTCTTTTAAAAAATTAATTGTTGAAACAAACTCTAAACATTCCAACAAAAATTCAATACTGTAGGTGGACCAGTGTAAGTATCACTAAAAGCATCCGCATGGCCTAAATATTTGATTTATGTGGAATTACCATTAAAAGATACTTCGCATCAGGGGGCAGAGCCTGACCAGCAACCTAGCTAGACGTGTCTTACATGAGCTCCTGTTTCAAATCGACAAACACGGTGATTTTTCGGGCCGAGGTGTTGGAAAACGGTACTTACGGAGCCCTAATAGCAGAGATAACTTACTTGTTACTTTTGACACCGGAGTCAATGTTCTGAGTGCCCGGGAACCGCAGCAGCAAGGTGTGGCCTACCAGAGAGAGCATGGGGGAAAGACGGCCACTTTCCTCCTACAGTCTCAAGACTCATCTGAGTACGACTCTCCTACCCCATCCCTCCCCGTGGACCGGTGGGGGTTATCCCAGTCCCTGTCGTCCAGAGCTGCCACAGCCTAACCCATCCCAGAGGACCCAGTACTACTCCTGAACTGACCGGGAGCGGAGGAAACCAAGATGGCGGACATACAAGGCTCCTCTACACGCAGCCCGATCCTGTTACAGCATGACACAGCAGGCCTCAGCACTACAGCACCTGACACTCTTGACGCGATATATGAAAGGTTCTGGGCAAAGCTGTTAGACCACGAATGGCAAGCAAAGAACCTACAACTGCTACCTATGAGAGCACAAGATGGCGGCATTAGGAGGATTGGGAAACCTCTTAAGGACGCAAACTTGTCCCCAGCTTCCACAACCAGCACACGCTGCACACCTGGGCTGAGTGCAAAGAGGGTTTCGACTCACAAGTACCGGCCACATACGCGGAGGGCTAAGAGATGCAAATGAAATCCCACACTGACAGCAAGCAGCGCCCACCGCACCATCCCTAACGGGAAGACCCTGGACCTCACAGGACTCCAGGTTCGTGGTATAAAGGTACCGGCTCTCGCTCAGTCCCGGAGCTGGAGGGGCGTCCCGCCTCCACATCGCTACATTGCTTCCCAATGCGGATTCCACTAGCAAGAAGCGACCCCCATAGAGGCATCGGATGACTGTCAGGAGTATTAGCTAGAGGGGCTAGCTTGGTTCCCCGCAGCCCACGACCATCTTCACCATGCAGGAATCTATTACCACGCTCTATTGCAGATGGCGCTGGATTGGACGGCATATCTTCGCAACTTGTCTAGTGATCTTAACTCAATATGTATATTTCCTTACTTTGCCAGCACACTAGGCCTGATATCCTACACTCTCTTACTCTGTACTAGTGATGTCGCGAACCCGAAATTTTCGGTTTGCGAACGGCGAACGCGAACTTCCGCAAATGTTCGCGAACCGGCGAACCGGGCGAACCACCATAGACTTCAATGGGCAGGCGAATTTTAAAACACACAGGGACTCTTTCTGGCCACAATAGTGATGGAAAATTTGTTTCAAGGGGACTAACAACTGGACTGTGGCATGCCGGAGGGGGATCCATGGCAAAACTCCCATGGAAAATTACACAGTTGATGCAGAGTCTGGTCTTAATACATAAAGGGCAGAAATCACCTAACACTCCTAAATCACAATGGATATGGATTGACACCTGACATATGACATATTGACACCTTGACATATGGATTGATACCTGTCCTCAGAGACCCTGATACACACTGACACAGAGCAGAATAGAGACTGTTCCTCCTACATAGGGTCACTTGGCAGATATGGATTGACACCTGTCCTCAGAGATCATGATACACACCGACACAGAGCAGAATATAGACTGTTCCCCCTACATAGGGTCACTTGGCAGATATGGATTGACACCTGTCCTCAGAGATCATGATACACACTGACACAGAGCAGAATAGAGACTGTTCCTCCTGCATAGGGCCACTTGGCAGATATGGATTGACACCTGTCCTCAGAGA